TCTCTTATAAAATGTATTTGCAATGAATAAGTCATTGATTTTACAAAATTCAATCATTCTATCTCCAGCCTCATTCCTGTCACCAAGCCCATGTTTCCTTCTGAAGTAATGAAAATGTTTTGTAACTGAAGACAATAGATGAATAACATTATGAAGACTAATTTTATGCAAATTTTAGTTTAATAAAAAGAAAAACATATTATTATGGAGTTATGTATGCCTATTACTTTGACTATTTAATAGTTCTAATTAATCTAATCTAAGAAAAAATAAATTAAGTGATATTTATTATATAGTTTCACTTAATGTGTTTAGACCTTATAATGGATGCCCCAGTTCCAAAGGTTTGTAAAAACTAAGAAAGGACTCATTTAACTGCCATTTATTTTATTACTGTGCCAGGAAACAAGCTGAATCCTGGGGATAAAGCAATGAAAGTCCTGTAATTATTTTTAAATCCTTCTCAGCTCTTTCCGTTTTTCCTCTTTATTTGAGAAGAGGAGTGGGGGCGGGGGAGGATTTGTTGGGTTGGTGGGGTTTTTTTTCTCACCACAGGACTCCCAGTTCTTTTCAGGGCTTTTGCTAAGTGTCCTCTTCACATACCTTTGTTGTATTTTGAAGATTTCCTGAGGTGGCTATTTCTTTCATCCAGACAGTTTCTTTATTTCTCCCTGAATAAGCTTTGACTTGCTGATCAGAACTCTCTGCTATTGCATTTGCTTTGTAGACTTAACACTGATATGTTCCTTTAATAAAAAGGAAGCCAGGCTATGTATGTTATGCAGTTTCCCTGTGATTTTTGCCCTCAGGGTAAGCCTCCTACAGCTATAGTTATAAACTCTGGGTTTCTCCCACTCCACCACCACCAACACTAACCACAGGAACAAACCCTGTTTTGTTTTCATTTAATGTTTTAAATATTCTGCTATAATAATTAAATTTTCTTCTGAGAATTCATCAATATCCCTTTCAAATGTCCCGTTTTAAAAGAAATGTAGAGTACTGCTATTTCTGATTGAATTGACATAGGAAATTTTACCTTTAGACTTTGCAAAATATTGTGTGTTTTGAAAATAAGTGGAGGACAAACTGTATTCATTAGAAATTAGTCAATGACTTTAGAGTCAAAATATTCATAAAATTAACAGAATTCTTCTTGGAATCAATATGATTACATTCGCATATGTTCAAATTTATTGTACCAGCAGCAGGCTAGGAGCAGTTCTTACAAGTCTCTATGATTCTTCTTTCTACCTTGAAACAAGACATTTGACCTACAGTGAAAATGAGTGTTTATGTTAGGTTTTTCAGCATTAATGTTTAAAGTTCAGTATTTTGCTTTGCAGTCATCCTTAGCATAGAAATACGTCTATGTTGAATATTATAAATTATATGGCTCATGTTATATATACTTAAAATTTATCTTTCTTTTAGCGTTTATATAAATTTAATTTTCTCATTATTTTTCTAAAATTACTTTTGATGTGATTTAAAACTTGTTAAAAAATTTACTGCCTTCAGTGTGATCATTTTATAGATTATTAGACATGAGCTAGATATATATCCTCAAATAGATATAGATGATAGATAGATAGATATAGATAGATAGATAGATAGATAGATAGAGGCAAATAGGAAAATATATAGAGAGATATCAAGATATATGGAGAGAGAAATATGAATATATACATATGAATATATAGAGAGAGATATGAAATATAGAGAGAAATATGAAAATATAGAGATGAATATGAGAGGGGTGAATATATAGAGATGAATAGAGAGAGAGGAATATACAGAGAGATGAATAGAGAAATAAATATATATCTATATATAGAGAGGGAGAAATATAGATATAGATGATATAGATATGGATCCAGGTACAGATATAGATATAGATATATAGACTCTGGTTGTTGTCATTGTTTTGTACCATTGAGTCAGAACGGACCCATATAAACAAAAGGAGAGAGACTGATTGTTGTTGTTTTTGTTATTATGTACCATCAAGTCAGAACAGAGTCATAGCTGACCCTCCAGTGGGTTTTAAGAGGCAATAAATCACAGGGGAGGGAGATTTCTCATCTTTTTCCTATGAAGCAGCTGCTAGTGGCCTACTGATAAGGGAACTGACAACCCAAAGACATACAATTCACATCCATCATCTGCTCCATGAGAGAAAGATACGTATTCTCCTCCCTTGCAATCTGCAGCCTCTGAGAACCCACTGGAGGGTCAACTATTAGTCATTTCCAACTGGATGTGACATAACAACAGTTGTTACTGTTGTTAGGTGCCATTGAGTCAATACGACCCATAGGAACCCTAAGAACAATAGATCTGAGCCTTTTCCTATCCTGTGCAATCTTTACACTTTCTGACACACGAGAGCCTATTCCAGTCACCATGTCAATCCACCTGGTCAAGAGTCTTCCCCTCCTTCTTTTTCATTTAACAATGGAGTGGCATTCACTTCCAAATAGCTTGCCTCCAGAAACCCTATAAACCTGGAGAAAGGATGAAAGTTATACAAGTGTCCAGGTCTCCATCTCATTCATAGGGTCGCTATGAGTCGCCTACAACTCAGCGGCACTTAACAACAACAATTATATATTTATATATTAGTCCACACCAAAAAATACAAATTGTGACTTTATCAGTTTGTCTTATTTCTAAAGACCAGGTTTATCCTTAATTAATAGTGCTAAAAAACCCTCATTTTGCAGTGTATTATTATTATTATTTTGTTACAGAAAGTTGGCTGTGATGGTTTATTGGGGTCTCTTGCAAGGGAAGATCATTGTGGTATCTGCAATGGCAATGGGAAGTCCTGCAAAATCATTAAAGGAGATTTCAATCACACCAGAGGAGCAGGTAATTTTTTCTTTCATTTTTATCTACAACATATTTGGGAAAAGAAATTATACTAACCTTAATTTAGAAAAGCAGAGTCCTGATTCTATTGAAGACTTTCACAATGGGTATTTAACAATATTTCATGATGATATGTATCTGTTATGAGCCAGAAATTCTAACAAGCTGATTTCCCAATAATGAACTTGTCTGCTTTTCATTTAGAGCAGGAAGGGAATAATCTCATTTGCATTGGCTAACGTTATCTTGTTTCTGTAGAACTCACTTCCCTGTGAAAAGCATGATATTTAACAGAAAATAATGACTTGAAGCAGCCTGTAGCAACTATTGAGAATATTGTTTTTTCAGCTTTCCACTTTTTTACTACTTTTATTTTTCAGGAAATACATTTTTAGGAACCCTGCAGCTATTTATGGAAGTATTGCCTAATGGAAAAGATAGCAGAGAGGAGTAGCGGGTACATGCCAGGCAATGTCCATAATATTTGAAAAATAGAATGTAATCCTCGGTTATTCTATTTTTTCATATAAATTAATATAATAACACCCAAGAGATATCAAGATGAAATGGCATATGTATTGTTTTTCTTGTTACGTGCCATTGAGTGACCGCTATTGTACAACTCTGAACCCTGCCCTATCCTGAGCCAGTGTCACTGACTCCAACACCTGCCCTTCATGACCACAGTTACTGTATCAATCCATCTCATCTGGAGTCTTCCTCCCCTGTGCTGTCCCTCTATCCTTCCAAGCATGATGTCCTTCTCCAAGGACTGGTCCGCCCTGGTCTTGTACCCAAAGTATGTAAGACAGAACTTCAAAATCCTTGCTTCCAAAGACCAACTTGGTTTCACCCTCTCCAGGAAAGACCTGTTTCTTCTCTTGGCACTCCATAATAAGTTCAATACTCTTCTCCAGCACCCAACTCAAAGGCATTGATTCTTCCTCTGTCATCCTTGGTTTTTGTCCAGCTCTCTGATGCATAACAAGTAATTGTAAAGACCATGGCCTGAATCAGGTTCACCTTAGTCTCTAGACTGCCATCATTACTTTTTAGCACTTTGGAGAGGTTCCCTGACAGCAGTCTTCTCCAATGCAATTCATCTTTTGATTTCCTGACTGCTAGTGCCAAGAGTGTTATATTAAAATTAACCACAAGAAAAATGGTATTGCTGACCCTGAAATATAATGACTCAGAAATATTCCTTACAGAAAATACTTTATAATCAGGACCTCAAGCTTACTGTGAAAAAGAGACATTTTTCAGGGAGCTCTGGTGGCCTAGTGGCAAAAAGCTGCACTACAATCCCAGAAGCACGTGGTTCTCCACCAGATGCTCTGCAGGAGAAGGAGAGACAAACTCCCCCCGTACCAGTCAGATCTGATTTGACTGCACACACGCAAAAAAATAATAAAATGAAGGAAGGGAGGGAGGGAAGGGAAGGGAAGGGAGGAAAGAAAGAAAGAAAGAAAGAAAGAAAGAAAGAAAGAAAGAAAGAAAGAAAGAAAGAAAGAAAGAAAGAAAGAAAGAAAGAAAGAAAGAAAAGGCATTTTCTCTGCTTTTATCTGGGCATGTACTTGATGAACCATTTCAGTCCTCTTTATTCTATTTTCATCATTATTCACTCACTCATTCACTCACTCTTCACCTGCTCACCCACTGCCATTGAATGAGTTGAGAGATTCTCTGTTGGTTTTCTAGAGTGTCAGTTGTAAGAGGAGGACACTGCCCCACAGAGGCTCAGGTGGGGTCAGACCCTAATGATGCATCACCTTTGGTTGCCAGCATTAATACTTTAGGGACTACATTTATCATCATCATTAGTATACCTTATTACACATACAATATTTTTGTATTCTTAATTTCTTTATTGTTCAAAAACTGTACTATAAAGCTTGATATCAGGATAGACATTAGTTTTAGTAGAAGTAAGAAGTTCTTTATGTTTGGGTAACCAGGAAAACTTGAGGTCATTCAAGATAAAAAGCATCCTGCAGAAAAGAATATTAGACACAGTCTTCTAAAGTTTGAATGTAACCTTTTGCTTGGCCCCAGTAGAATAAGAGATAAGTAGGCTTGAAGTTCTGAAAACCTAAAAATAACTAACGCTTAGGGTAAACTACAGATCCAAATCTATCTCCAGTATTGTGATAAAGATGACAGGTCTTGAAAGTCAAAATCTGCCAGCACACATTTAGAAAAGGCATACTTAACCACAGCAAGCTCACATATTTTTCAAATGAAGAATGTAATTATTACAAACCTTGTCAACTGATTGTTAAGGGTGATATTTTTTATACTTAAATATTTCTAGTAAATTCTGAAAAGTATAAAAGTAAAAATATTAGAATTTTTTTATAGTCTATTCTTGTGTGGTACTTTAATATGTATATAAACAGCTCAGTGAAGAATATCAAGGAACAGTCAGGACAGATGTCTTTATTAAAATATAACAGCCCTTTGTTTTACTACTAATCATAGAAAACATAAATACTATTAAAGAAATCAGTAATGTTTTCTGTTTTGACTATAAACAGGTAAGTATATTTATCTCATGATTTCTCCCTCAAATCTTCTCAATACTAGTTGCATGTAAGTTTCTACTTTCACTCTTTTGATTACGTGATTATATCTGGTGGCTGAGTGTTACAGAGAGATGCTGCCAACTCAGAGACATAGCGTTCAAATCCACCAGCTGCTCCACAGGAGAAAGATGATTGAACTCCTCCCTAGGAGTTTACAACCTCTGAAAACCTACTGGACCGTCAGCTATGAGTCATTTCTGACTCAATGAAATATAACAGTAACATAAGCAAGAAGGTTCTGACACTGTCTAAGATATTAGACATAGCAGGGACTAACAACAACACTTTCACATTGCTCAGAGGGAAAGATCAGAATTCTTAACTTGGCCTCCAAGTTTCTGTATAGTCTTGTCACTGTCTTTCCAGAATCATCTCACACTGAAGTTCCCTCCTTCTCTAAGTTGTACCCATTGGATTTCATCTTATTTTTAGGTGCCATTAACTCCGTTCCTATGCAAAGTGACCTCATGCACAGCAGAACAAATGTCCCTTGGTCTTGTGCCATCCTCATGATCATTCCTGGATTTTGAGTGCCTTCTTCTAGTCACTGTATCAGCCCTTATCCTAGAGCATCAACCTCTGTTTTTCTGATCCTCTACTTTACCAAACATGGTTTTTCTCCAGGGATTGGTTCTTCTTGATAACATGTTTGAAATGAAACAAAATCTCACCTTCATTGTTTCTGAGTGGCATCTGAACTTACTTCATCCCAGTCATATTTCTTTGTTTTTCTGACAATTCATGGCATAATCAATTTTCATTGACAACCTTGTAATTTTTTTATTTTCCTTATTTATTGTCTGTCTTGAGCACATTGTTGTTGTTGTTGTGAAACATCGATCTAGCACAATAAACAGTTAAAAATACCATGACTTGAGACAGGCTCACCGTAGTCCTCAGAGTGACATCATTGCATTTTAACATTTTAAAGGAGGTTTTTTGCAGTAGTTTTACCCTGTGAAATAGGCTCTTTGATTTCTTGGCTATTGCTTACATAGGTATTGCTTGTGGAGCCAAGTAAAATTAAATCCTTGGCAGCTTCAATCTTTTCTTCATGTGTCATGATGTTTCTTTTTGGTCCGGTTGTGAGGATTTTTTTTTTCTTTATGTTGAAGAAGGCTATAAGGTTTTTTGTTTTGTTTTTTATATTTTTTAAGGATACGATTCTTTAGTGTTTTAATTTTTTAAAAAAATTTACTTTTTTTGTGTGTGTGTACATCAAATCGGATCTGACTGGTACAGGAGGAGATTACCCCCTCCTTCTCCAGCAGAGCATTTGATGGATTTGAACCGCATACCTCTGGGATTGCAGTGTAGCTTCTTGCCACTAGGCCACCAGAGCTCCCTAAGGCTATAGTTTTATTTGTATGTGTGGTTTTGGGGTTTTTTAAATTTTATTATATTCATTTTCATGAACATTTACAGAGATTTTGGTTTTCCACTCATTTATTTTTGCACTTTTCTCAAGGCTATAGTTTTTAATCTTCATAAGTAACAGCTTCGAGTCCTCTTTTCTTTCAGCAAGAAGGGTTGTTTGATCAACACATTGCCATTTGTTATTCTTACTCCAGATATTTTATAGGTCTTCACATTGATATTGCTCCCTTTAAGCATGTCCTATTTGCAAGTACAGTCTCTCAGTGTCTTCTCAGGGCTTCCTGGTTAATTCAGACACATCACTTAGAGCTCATCTCAAATACCATTCTTTTATAGAAGTGCTTCCAAAGCAACTTCTACCATTTGTCCGCACCACTAGTTTGGTAATGCTCACTTTATGTGTTTCCACAAAAAAAACTCTAAATGCATTTGCACAGTATCCAAATACAAGCATGTACAAGGTTCCTTCCTCACTAGCTCAGAGAGATAAAAAGTATCATAGCTATTTTTGTTGAAGCACAATGTTTATTTTCGTTCATTTAATTAATAAGAAAACATTATATTTTTCAGAACTTCATTTTTTGACAATGTCCTGTATGAGTCTATAATTCTATCACAGGCTTCATCTACTTTTAACTTTAGGAATGTTGTGTTCATTCCTCTTGAGACAATTTCATCCCTTTACTTTATGGGCTTTTAGAATGTCTTGAAGGAATTGCAAGCTACTTGGTCCAGTTGGCCGTGCACACTGTATATATTGCATGAGCAACACACGTGCAGATGTAGTGGGTGTTTCCAGTCCCTCTGCTCTATTTAGAATTTGCTAAAACATTTTTGTTGGAGCTGAAAAATAAGCTTTGCAAGTTGTGTGCGTGATTTTCCTTTCCTTAGTACATTTGTCATGTCTTTTCATTGTAACCTGCCAAACTAGGAGATTTTTTTTAAGGCAATGAAAGGTATATTGTGTATTTAGGAACTTGAAGAACTGTACAGCTATTTATCAGTATACATTTAGAGTGAAAAACAGAATAAAGTTCTTAATGTAAGAAGAAGATGACATTCATGCAGCCTTAGAAAGACTTGCTTTTAGAGGGGATTTTTTGGTTTACCACAGTAGTGGAAGAGGGTGCTGAAAAAGTAGCAGTGAATTATAGCAAGAACCACATGATAAAATCAGTCCGATCTGAATGTAAACCTTGTGACAGCTAATTATTGAAAATATAGTCTTGAAAAGTTTCCCCCCTACTTTTGTTTTTCACCTATTAGTAATACAACATTGCCATATGTTTCAATGCAATAATTTATGTAAGGTATCTGGGATGCTGATTAGCACCAATTAGCCCATGATAATTATTTGAAATCTGTCACTTATCATTATTACTGCCATAAAGATAATGGTTACTCCAATTAAGAATACAGGGAGCTTTGGTGGTTTAATGGTATGAAGCTCCATTGCAATCCCAAAGGCACTCAATTTGAATCCAGACGGTCAGTCTCCTCCTGTGCGATTTCTGCTTTTGAAAACTGTCTGGAGGCTCCGCTTTGAGTTGGTCCCAACTTGATAACACATAAAAGCAACAACAATTAAGAATGCAGGAACTCTAGTGACATGTTCCATAGCACTCCAACAATCTGCTCATCTAAATCAGTTTTAAACCACAAGCTTCTCTTTGAGGGAAAGAAAGCTTGTCTCCTCTCATTAAAATTTACAGCCTCAGAAACCCATTGGAGAGTCACTATGAGTGAGCTGAGTTGAACTAAGAATGAATGAAGCCCTTGATTACAAGGTATTCTACTATATAAACAGTTCAATAAGAGGACTTTCCGGGGCAGTTGATTGCATGTGAGGAGATTGCCCATCCCTCTCCCACTATGTTACTATATAAATACATATTTTTTTCCCTGTGGCAAAAATAGCATTGAACCTTATGGGGGTGATGATATCAGAAAAGAGCAACATATTAAATTATGGTTTCTATTCTTTAGCTAGGAAACACTGGTGGCCTAGTGGCAAGACGCTGTGCTGCAGTCCCAAAAGAAAAAGAACCGAGGTTCAAGGTCACCAGCTGCTCCACAGGAGGATGGGGCAGTCTCCTCCTGTGTGATTAACTGCCTCTGGAAACCCACCCTAGGGTCAGCTATGGCTTGGTTCTGATTCATTGGTACACAGCAACAACGGAATTCTTTGGCTGGAAATTAATCATATTGTTTTGCATGCTATTTCTTTAATATACTTTTTCAGTTTTATGTAACTCATATATATGAAAGTTATTTATTCTTTATCTTCTCATTTATATTATAAGCTTATTGTGGACAAGGACTATTTTACCTTAACTTCCATATATAAATAGGAACCACATATTTATCTCTATTTTTATTGCTACGTATATTGTTCACGTACCATAATGACAGAATGACAGTGGTTTTATCATGATTGGCTTACTCAAAATGGTTATAATGAATTAGAAATACTATTTTGAATAAGAGAGGAAATTCTGATTCCAAAGGCAGATGCCTCTAATTCCAATCACTGCCACCAGGTGGAGTATATGCTACCTCTAGGAGTATACCAAATAACATTTTCAGGGATTTAAAAAATTGAGGAATAGGAGGCAAACCTGGAATTAGCTGTGTTACTTTAAAAACAAAAAAAAAATCCCAAAAACCTTTGAATGAAAGCTTTAATTAGATAGAGGCTCTCCTAAGAAATGCTAGCAAGGAAAAAAAAAACAAAAACTTTCTATCATTTCTTAACGTAAATGTTGAGCCAGAATACCTCTGGTTGTGTCCTCCATTGGAAGTTTTCTTGCTAAGCCAAAGACCATTGCAAAAGAATATAGGTTGTATAAGGATGTAATGTCTGGTCTCTGTTAACTTCACAATTCCCCATCAGCAAAATCCACACTTCAAAACCAACTCCCAGAAGGTCAGACATGACTCATCTACATGTTCCCATACATATTTCTACTAATTCCAACACCAATTGTACTGTGCTTGTAGTGTACAGAGTTTAAAATCCACAGAACCATATTCATGGTAAATGGGGTTTATCAGAGAAGTTAGCAAATTATAATTCACCTTGGCAACAGGCTACATCTTCAGTCTCGATAGCTTCTCAAGTGTGCATGCAGGCCTTTTGACCTTAGCCTCAGAATTTCGGTCAGTGTTAAAAGATCTGCTTGCTGTTGCTGTGTGCCATAGATTTGGAACTGGCCCATAGCTGACCCTCCGGTGAGTTTTCAGATGCAGTACATCACATGGGAAGAGATTGTCCATGCTTCTCCTGTGGAGCAGCTGTATGCCTTTGGGACTGCAACACAACTTTACCCCACCAGAGCTTTGTCCTGACAATTGCTGATTTTTTTTTTCCTCAGTCCTCAAGCAAGCTTGGGCAAAGGCACCTGGCTCTGTCTCCATGGGACACTAGTCTCAAATGAGCTCTGCCTCATGGTTGTCTGTTTTTCTTTGCTGAGGCTGCTGCTGGTCTCAGATAAGTCCTGCTCTGATTTGTGCAGGAATCTCTGTCCTCGAGGGACTTGTGCTGCACTCTCTGCTTTTTTCTTTCCTGGTGTTGAGATTTCTACCTTTGGTGATAAACCTTCTCAGTTTACTTGATAGAATAGGAAAAACTGACCAATTCCATAATGATCAGTTTATACATACTCTGTCCACGTTCCCACCCAGTTACGTGGTGAAAATCAAAGTTGATAACTACGAAAGCCATTTTGAAGTGTAAACCTCAGACACCACAGCTATGAATCTCTGGTTCTTCAGATCTACAGGTTACTCCTCTGGAGAAAAAGTCAGTCTCCTCCCTTATGATTCTCAGCCTAGGAAACTCAAAATAAGTCAGGCATGAGTTGACTCTACTCATTGTCAATGAATTTGAATGAACAAAAGTAATCATCCACTCTCTCTCACTGTTCTGCATTAGTTCCCATCTTTAACATTTTTGTGCAGGTGTTTTCTTAAATCCCTTTAGTGCATTTCATTTGCTGCACTCCCAACTTCCGTTGGGAAACCTTTTTGAGTAGCACCAATGGGCGTCTTGCTTCTGGCGGTCTGACACTCTTAGGGGACATTGGATTGCTTTATGGGTCTTGCCTTTGTCTTCAGCTCCAGCTTAAGAACTCTCTATTAATCTCCTCCAGGCAAGCTTTGCCCCTCCCCTCCTGCACATCACACTACAGGGACGTGGGCCAGAGCAGCTGTGTTCTCTCCACTACATTGCCTTCTTTGCCACTTAAAGGACCTCCCAGAATAGAATCTTTGGTTATTTGCTCTGTTCTGAGATCTACCATTTCTAGCCAGTCTCTCCCATTATGCTTTTTTCTCAGTTCTTAAATTATCAGTGAACTATTTAACATGAACAATAATTCCTTCCTTGTTCTTCACAGAACTCTGGGCTCAGTTTCTTTCCGAGAAGCTGCTCCCCTTGGAAGCGTGACAATTTTATACATGTTTTCTCCCCACACGTAGCAAAAGAGCAGAACAAAACTGACACTTAATGGGAACATATAAAAAGGGAAGTCAATGAAGAAATAAGTTTTACTGAAAATCAGATTTATTTAACCCTTTAAAAAAAAAATCTATTCTTGCAGGCTATGTGGAAGTACTGGTGATACCTGCTGGAGCAAGAAGAATCAAAGTTGTGGAGGAAAAGCCGGCACACAGCTATCTAGGTAACCTGTCCCACAGACACAGATATTCCCAGCAGTAGTCCAACTCCCTGCCCTCGGTGTCCTGTGAAGAGGAGGGAGTCAATCTGTTTCTAGTTACATGTTTGAATTTCACAGGAAGGACTTCATGTCATATTAACTAGGAATTTCTTTCCTTCTCTCCCAAGGACTTCCCTGAAACAAAAACAATCTATTTGTCTATATGATTTTTAAGGGGTACAAATTGTTTCCACGTGTTAGTATATGTTTTTTTAAAAGAATCCGGGAAGGAGTTCCTTATATTTTATTTCATACACACATGTGTGTACAAATATATATTAATGATGTGAATATGTGTATGTTGTTGTTGTTGTTGTTGTTGTGTGCTGTCAAGTCACTTGAGATTCATAGTGACCTATGTATTATAGCTCTGAAATCTACTCTATCCTGTGCCAACCTTATTTTCTCTAACACACCTAACCTCATTACCCCAATCACTGAATCAATCCATCTCATTGAGGATCTTTCCTCTCCTGTGCTGTCCTTCCACCCTTCCAAGCATGATGTCCCTCTCCAAGGACTGGTCCCTCTTTGAAACATGTCCAAAGTTTGTCAGACAAAACTTCAGAATACTTGCCTCCAAGGAGCAGCCTGCCTTCACCCTCTATAGGATGAAACGGTTTATTCTCCTGGCAGTCCATGGTATTCAGTATTCTTCTCTAGTTCCACAATTCAAAGTCATAAATTCTCTTTCTATCATTTGCAGTCATTGTCCGGCTTTCTGATGCATAGCAAGCAATTTCAAAGACGATGGCCTGGATCAGGTACACCTTAGTTTACAGACTGATGTCATTGCTCTTCAGTACTCTGGAAAGGTCCCTGACAGTAGAATTTCCCAATACAATTTGTCTTTTGATTTCCTGTTTGCTAGTAGCAAGGGTATTGATTGTGGAGACAAGCAAACTAAAGATGTTAACAATCTCAATCTTTTCGTCATCTGTCATTACGTTGCCAATCACCCTGGTGGAGAAAAATCTTTGTTTTCTTTACTTTGAACTTTAGTCCACATTGAAGATTGCAGTCCTTGACCTTCTACTGCAAACACTTCAGGTCTTCCTCAGTTTCAGTAAGTAGGGTTGTGTCATCTGCATAACACAGACTGTTGATAAGTCTTCCTCCAATCCTGATGTCACATTTCTCCTTATAGAGTCCAGCCTCCCAGATGATCTGTTCTACATATAGATTAAAAAGGTATGGAGATAGGACACATTCTTGGCATACACCCTTCCTGATTTTGAACTATTCAGTGTTTCCTTGTTCTGTTCTGATGACTGCCTCCTGGTCCAAGTATAGATTTCTCATAAGCACAATTAGGTGTTCTGGGATTCCCATTCTTCTCAGACTAAGCCATAGTTTGTTGTGATTCACACAGTAAAATGCCTTTGTGTAGTCAATAAAACACAGACAGACAATCTTCTGGTGCTCTCTGCTTTTAGCCAAGATCCATATAAGAGTAGCTGTAATTTCCCTAGTACCACGACCTCTTCTAAACCTAGCCTGCACATCTGGAAATTCTCTGCTGATGTACTTATTATCCCAATCATTTTTGGTTAGTTTTCTGCATATTCTTGTTTGCATGTGGTATTAATGATATTGCATAATAATTCCCACATTATATCATCAAGACTCTGATATTTGTTTAATGAGGGCTAAAACTCAACTCATTGTTATGAAGTCATAACCAACTTAAAGTTGACTCTACCGCAGGTTCTCTGGTGGGTGTAAATTGCACAAGAAAACACTATTTTTCCCCTGCAGTGCCACTGGTAGATTTAAACCACCAAAGGGGTGCCACCTCTGGGCTAGCAGCACTACTCTCCACAGATTACATGACCAGAGTTCTATCTCTCTAGATGTAGATATATATATTCCACTAGCAACAAGATTCAGATCTGTTGTTCCAACTCCATGGCACCTTACAATAACAACAGCTATCATCAAGTTTGTTCTCTCATAAAACAAGCTTCTATCAAGGCCCGAATGTGCTCACTGTGCTAAGAAATCTGGAAGACAGCTACCTGGCCAACTGACCATAATAAATGTATATTTGTTCCCATTCCCAAGAATGGTGATCCAACAAGAATATGAAAATTATCAAACAATATAATTAATATCACATGAAAGTAAGATATTACTGAAGATATCCAAAGAGGACTGAATCAACAGAGCACTGCCAGAAATACAAGTTGGATTTAAAAGACATTTGACACTAGGGATATCATTGCTGATGTCAGATGTATCTTAGCTGAAAGCTAAAAATACTAAAGAGTACCTGAAGGATCCGTATTTGTGTTTTACAGACTATACAAAGGCATTTATATGGATCCCAGCAAAACAGTGGCTAACATGGAGATGAATGGGAATCCCTATCACTTACCTGATTGTGCTTAGGTGAAACCTGTATCTAGTCCAAGAATTTATTGTCCGGACAGAGCAAGACTCCACTGTGATGCAACATCAAGAAAGGAGTGCATCAGGGATGCATCTTTTCTCTATACCATTTTAACCTATATGCTGAATAGTTAATTTGAGAGGCTAGACTTGTAAGAAGCAGGATATGTCATTAGGATTGGAGGAAGATTGATCAATAATTTGTGTCATACATATGACACAAACTTGCTCCCCAAAACTGAGGAAGACTTAAGGTGTTTATTGCAGAAAATCAAGGACTGGATTCCTTCACATTAGGAAAGGAAAAAAAAATCCTCACCACTGGACCAATAACACTTTCATGACTGATGGGAAAAGATCGAAATTGTTAACATTTTCATCTTGCTCTGACCCACAGTCACCACACTTGGCACCAGAGCCAGGAAATCGAAAGTTACGTTGGGAAAATCTAGTTAAGGACCTCTCCAGAGTGTTAAACAACAGCAGTGTCAGTTTATAGACTATGGTGTGCCTTATCCAAGCCATGGTCTTCTTATTGCTTACTGTGTATCTGAGATCTGCCCAATGACTAAGAATGACTGACGGAAGAGGAATTGACGCCTTTGAGTTGTGGTGCTGGAGAAGAGTATTGAACATACTATGTTATGGTATACATACAATAGACTCATGCTTTAAAAGGTAGAGAGAGGATCAGTGAGAAAGAGAGAAAGACCCTAAGCAAGATGAATACATGCTTTGATACAAGCAGTGTGTTTAAGCAAGGTGGGAATTGCAGGGATGTCACAGGACTAGACAGGCTCAGAAATGTTGTTCATAGGGTCACTATGGGCTTCAGTAGAACTGAGGGAACCTAGCACACACACAACTGTAATCTCATTTAGCAATAGGATTTCTTATAGTACTGAGGCAGGATTGTTGTTGTTGTGTACTGTCAAGTCAGAACTGACCCACAGCAGGAGGTTTTCAGAGGTGATAAATTACACAGTAGGAAATAGTCCATCTTCCTCCCTTGGAACAGCTGGATTCAAACTACATGTCTTTGCTTTGACAGTGCTATTCCAAACCATTAAGCCACCAGAGCTCTGAGGCAGAATCTGTGTAGGGTACATTTCGGGTCAGACCAACGTAGAGTCCGCTGTTAATTGATTTCAACATGATGGTAATGAATGAGTGGGTTGGGTTTTTTAAATATTTTAAAAGAAGATAGGATATGAAGCCAAGTAAAGATTACCCGGGATTATAAACTCCAAAAGGACCTTCCTTTAGAATGTGCAAAGAAAGAAAATCTTCCCAGTCAGTGCCCCGAATTCAGATTCCTAGCATCCTAAATTGTGAAAAGATAAATCTGTTTGTTCAAAAACTTATTGTTGATATTTTTGTTACTGTAAATAAGGAATACAGGTTTAAGCTCTTGACTTACTTCAGGTGAATTTAGTTAAGAAGAGAGAATTTTTAAATGGTTATATTTATTCATAGAAAGCACTGTATAACGTCTTTAATGTTTTAATTAGGTAAGTTAATGAATTTTAAATACATGAAAGAAAAAATTATGATAAACATATTTCTTGTGGGTTGAAATTTTAATCTAAATAAATAATATGAATTGGCAGATCATGTTTATACTTTCTTTAAATAAGCCAATTTGCCTTTTTTAAAAAAATACTTTTTTTCTCAAACAAGCTCAGCCTCATTGCTGTTAAGTCACAACCCACTCGTGGCTGACTCTGCAGAGACAGAGGGTTTTCAGTAAACTGCTTGGCTAGGGATGTCAGTAAACTGCTTGGCTAGGGATGACCATCTTTCTCCTGAGGAGTTGCAGGTGAATGTTGAACCATCAAAGAGGCTTTGAGTTAGCAATGCAACACTCCGTGGGCAGTTCTCTTTATTCTTTTTTTAAATGAGCACTAGAAAATCATCTGTGTGTATGTTAAATAACCCACTATTGGATGATTGATTCCACTCTCCAACATTGACAAAGTTCTGCTGTAGGCCTTGTATTTCTCTTCAGGATTTGCCTTTTTGGAATAGAACAAAATTTTCCTTATAAGGAAAAATTCGTTTTCATATAAACAGTAGAAGAAACCCATTACCATATGACAGCCTCCTTAGTCTATCATTATCTATATATAAATTTTCCTATATTTTATGTTATGTGTATTGTATTATATTATTATGGGAAGAAGCTGCCCTGCAATCTTGAAGGCACACTGTCCACTAGCTGCTCTGAAGGAGGATAGGCAATCTTCTCCCATGCAGTTAACTGCCTCTGAAAACCACCTAGAGAGTCAATGATGGGTTGGTTTTGACTCAGTGATAAACAACAAGTGTGTGTGTGTGTGTGTGTGTGTGTGTGTGCGCGCGCGCGTGCGTGTGTGTCTGAGATCTCTAAGCCCTATTGTTGTGTTTATATTCATTTTAGTATGAGTAGATAAGCACAAATTTCAAAATTTAGATTAAGGCATTCACAACAAGTTTATGGGTGGTATTTTGCTAGATAAAATAATCCGCTAGTAACCAAAAAGGTCTGAACCATTCAGCCAATCATGAGAGAAAAATGTTGCAATCTCTTTCCA